GATACTGTTTTGCTGCTGTTTCTCCCGTCCTGCCTCCCCCTGCCCTCCCGTTCGGGGAGTGACATTTGAACGCTCTGCCGTAGCCATTAGATAACCCGGGAGGAGAGGCTGCTGAGGAGAGGGCTGGGGCAGAGGCAGCAGGCAGGGATGGAGGCAGGTCCCCTCTCTGCCATCCTTTCTCAAGGGCAGATGGAGAGGATGCTCCAGCAGCAAATCCCCGGTGCTGTGGGAGTGACAGCGGGTCTGGGGACGAGGGGAGAATGGACAAACCCAAACCCAAACTGTGTCGGCCAGGAACTCCGTCTAGCTTTGGCTCTGAAAATTGAATTTCACTGAATTTCACTGAATTTTTAGAGTTGGAAGGGACCATAGAGACCACCTAGCCCAACGCCCCTGCTGAAGCAGGATCACCTAGAGCATGTACTGAATTTCACTGAATTTTTAGAGTTGGAAGGGACCATAGAGACCACCTAGCCCAACGCCCCTGCTGAAGCAGGATCACCTAGAGCATGTACTGAATTTCACTGAATGTTTAGAGTTGTGTTGTGCTGGAACATCAGCACAACTTTGTGCTCCAACATTTGGAGATAGGGTTTAGTGATGGTGTTGCTTTTTGTTTGTCGTGCGGGTGTTTATTTTTGTCAAAATTAGGTTGAGGGTTGGACAAGATGATCTTTAAGGTTCCTTCCAACCTAGAAGATTCTGTGGTTCTGTGAACATCACAGAAACAATGTGTATTTATTGCCCCACGGCTCGGCCTGCCCTGCCCTCTGCACCCCATCACTGCCCTCGCCCCACACCCTCGTCCCCCCAGCGAGCTGCAGGTGGGATCTCAGAGCCTCTGACATCAGGTAGCTCCTGGTCTCCTTCCAGCCGCCCTCACAGAGCATCCCTTGGGCTTCACCCACCCGTCTGGGGCTGCTGGCCGGCTCTGGCCCCCAAAAAGCCACCCTGATCCCCCTCCCACCCCACCAAGGGGTCTGGGGAGCAGGATGGCAGCACTGGAGGACACATGGAGGACCTTGAAGGGACAGGGGCACCCCGGGCTGGTGCTGGTGGCCTCAGGGCCCCTGGTCCGCATTAGCCAAGTGACCCTCAATAGCCAATTGATCCTCATTAGCCAAGTGACCCTCATTAGCCAAGTGGGGCTCCAGTGTCAGAGGGACCCACTCTGCTCTGTGGGGCTGGCTGGAGTGTGGGGCCGGGGGAGTGAGGGGTGCCCGGGGGGGGTGAAGGGTACA